ACCGAGCCCTCCCTTCTCATTTCACGCGTGACCGAGCGGAACGAAGAGAGGGCAACGGGCTAGGCGCGGACGGCGGGTTCCGCGAGGGCTTTCCGGCGACAATCTTCCGGCGAAGAAATTAGTCCAAATCGAAGAAGACGACAAGAGGATTACTCAGGTATAATTATTTTCAAACGAATCCCTCTCGCTCTCTAGATTTTTTAGAATGAAATTTCTAGGGTTTTTCCAAATTCTCATTTTCTTCCAAAATCTCTTTAAGAAATTGATACTGAATGATTAGAGAATCTTTTTAACAGTAGAAATGAAGTATTTGGAGGAGTTTTGGAAATTTATAAATTAGGTTTTTTGGACCTAAAAATTTATTTTCATAAGCATCTACAAAAATGATTCCTAAAGGTTTTGGAAATGTTTTTAAGAAAGAATTTTAAGTTTTAACAAAAAAATATCATTTTCTTAATTTTCATAAATTATTTCAATCCGAAAATTATATTATAATTACAATTACATGCTAGGGATTAGTTTAGGAGCAATATTTTAGTGAAATAAAAGATTTATGAATTTCCAAAATTTTAGTATTTATTAAATCCGAAAATTTAAGTTTATTTAATTAAATATTTATTAAGTGTCATAGGGAATTATTAAGGAAAAATAAAGGGTCAAATGACATGTCTCTTTTGAAATCATTTTAGGTTGTGAACATTAAAGTGAAAGAATTTTGTCGAAGCGACGTGCCATACTTGATTTGAGGTAGGTATTCATGTTTTTTTAAAAAAAAATTTAATGGTTTTGTTTTGTTCTATTATTCAATGCAAGTGATTGAAAAATTTATATTACACGAATTATGAATTTTTAGTTTTGGTAATATACATATTCAAGACTGTTATTTCATGAATTTAAGAAGCTTATTTCTTATGTTTAGAATAAATGTTTTATGATTTGAACATGATTTTCACAATTATTTTTCCATATGCATATGAATGAAAGATAGTATATTAAAAGAATGTGCATGCTGATGCGGAGTGTCCAATGGTAAAGGAGGCTCGTAGAGCCAATGATAAAGGAGGCTTGTAGAGCCAATGGTAAAGGAGGCTCGTAGAGCCAATGGTAAAGGAAATGGCCAAAATTTTGACTGGGTACCTGATCAGTACCAAATTGTGGGCACATCCGAAACGGGTGTTATTAAAACATTATGCATAATATGGTTCCTATATGTTCTCTTCAAATTATGAAAAAATTATGTTTAAAGAAAAAGGTAAATGAAAGGTATTACATAAAGGAAAGAGGTTAAGAAAAATGTTTCTTTTTATGTACTGATGAAAAATGTTTCTTTTTATGTACTGATACGAGATTATACAAGTTCGACGATCCTTTCATGTTTTCATACGAAATATTGCTTTATTTTAGTTTTATGTAAATTTTTATTTAAAAGACATGAATTACCTGCTGAGCGTTGGCTCATTCCACGCTTGAAATATTTTTCAGAAGATAAGTGATGGCTGCACGACGACCGTATACGTATCGTCGTAGGGGACCTCAGGAGGAAATGTTCTCTTTTATGATTTCATTTTGAGTCTTTGAGTTTGTTCCTGTGTAGTTTGTGAGTTTAAGTTTGAGTTTGAAATTTATGTAATTGTGAGAGCTTATGTAAGATTGATGGGTTTGAAACTTTTAGTAGTTTTGTGTGTTGAATAGTATGAAACTCTCTTTTAGTTTTGACGTTATTAGTGGCTCTTTCATATTTCTAGATGATGTTTGTATACTACTATTACGATCTTTAATAAAGTTATTCATGTTTTATATGCTTTATCTGTACGATTGACTGTTCCCGCCCCGTTAACTCGGGCTAACCGGGCCGGGTCGTGACACCATTTCTCCTGATTCTTCCATAATTTCTCCTTTCACAAGTGCTAGGTCCACCCCATGTGTCCCGATCTTCCCTTGCTCTGCCATAGTCCAAACTCCCTTTGAAATTCTCCCTTCTTTCTTCAAAATCAACACCTTGGCGGCCATAGTATCCTTCTTGGTGTTCCCCATATCCTCCTCTTACTTCCCTCTAAACAAGCTCCAAATGGGGTCTTCTTCCTTCTCCTTTTACGATCTCCGCCTCATCTTCCTCTCTATGGATTTCAGAGTTCTTACTTTTTCCATCCATCCCTTTTACCACTGAAGCCGCCGTTTGATTTTAAATTTCTAACATTTTTTCATCATATCTCGGAGGTCGGCGACTTGTCCCTCCATGGAAGAAACCCTTTTCTCCACTGTCGTTTTGTTTTGATTCATCTCCCCTTCAAGTCTTTCCTCCAAGGCATCCACTTTTTTTGCGGCCATCAAAATCCGGAGTTCGTAAATTCACAAAAACAGAATTTTGGACACAAAAAACAACAAGTTCTTCCTATTTGGAATGAAAAACTACTACTGGAATCCGTCGAAAACAGCCCTCCACCAGTCCCGAGACTTGCTCTGATACCAATTTGATAGGAAATACTTGAGTTCGCAAGCAAACCTATCACTAATTGGAGGAAAACAGCGAGAAATAAGTAAAATCTGAGCGAAATCAGCCCAAAACGATAGATTACAATAAGGGAAGCAAAGCAAAACCAACACGAAAGCAAGATACAAGTGATCCTCAATTCGCGAGGAGGATCATCTCTCCCAAATCTCTAAACAAGAGCGTCTAGAGCCCAAACACCAAGAAACCATAATTCTCAATCAATCAAAACATAAAAACTCCCTAATTCCCTCATCCCCTTTAATACAAGATCTTTCCTATTTTAATTTCCCTCCCAAATCCTAGTCTCCCCACTCCGTTTGAATTTTCAATCCATTGGAATAGTGGGGCCCGACCCATTAGGCGAGCCAAGCAAAGGAGGTGGAAGTCTCCGCATCCTATAGACCAGCGGCCCCCTTTGGGCCAAGAAACGGTCTAACATCATACTACACCTTCGACAATGGTAATCACTCCAATAATCAAGTTTATCGCTATTATAAATCATCTTTAATACAAACCAATGTTGATGCATTGATTGTTAGCAATATTCTCAAGATAATCAAGAATATTATGAAGAATATAAATATCATCATTACGAAAGATCACTATATGTATGATCATCCCATCCATCCCCACCCAAACCTTCTCATCATGTTAACAGATCATATAATATTCTAGTTTCTTTACTCCAAAGATTTAGATACTTGGGTCTGTTCCAAAATTTCAGGCAACTCTATCATCTATATCAATTCAAAATCTAAATCCTTACATCATATTTAGCTTTGATGATTAATATTTTAATGATCCAAATTATTTAGTAGGCTTAATGATGATAATGACTATTATCAACTTTTTTTTACTATTATCAACAATTGATCCTCATGTTAAGCTTTAGACTCGAAGTTGTGTCCGAGGCTATCCTTGAACCTAAATAGGAGATCGTATCCAACCCAACTAGCATTGTTTAAAAGTACTCAGATGAATAAACAAGTTGATCCAAAAATTTAGACTCTTAAAAGTTTTTTTCATCTGATTATAGATTGTTCCATATGTTAAAAAATGATTGATTCTCCAACAACAATACAAGTCGAGTTCATGTTAGCATTACTCCATATAATTATATGATCCTCACCTATTATATCAGTTTGAGAGAATTGTACGATGCATGTCAACATCTAAATCTGAAGACTCTAAATCATATTTCATAAGTTCATACCGCACAAGTTGAAAATTCAAGAGATAATTGTGAACTAATTCCACCACCTCCTTTATAGAGAGCAAACATCTAAGAGAAGCCTTCTGCAACACTCTTTAGGAGAACAATTCCATTAACTTCAAAAGAATAATAGACAAGCATCAAAATATTTTGATACATTTAGTTTTTAATTATTTATAGCAATTCCCTCCTAAAAAAAATAATTGGAAATAATTGGAAATCAATTTTCATATTTGATTTCCCTAAAAAGAAATAATTGGAAATCAATTTTCATATAAAATTATTATAAATATAGGATTCATCTCTTTATGAGGATTTATCCAATTTTAAATTTCAAGTACTCTGCATTGTCCATACAACTCAATTTGTATAAATAGGAATATGGAGCATTATATATAATCATTTAATAATATCACTTAAAACACATCAAAATTCCACCTGGTTCTCCTAAACTACTATCACACTCATTTCTCTTTCTCATGGGGTTCTCTTTCTTTCCATAACAAGCTGTCTCTCTCTCTCCTCAGAAAGACAAATTCCAAGATTACCAAGATCTCATACTTAATCCAAAGACATCTCTCGTGGCATTCTCTCTCTCCAATTCCTGAAGCTCTCATGGCATTGATTCAGAATGATGGAAATTTCTCAAGGGAAGCTCAGCTTACCTGTCCCTAACCCATTTCTCCCTAAAATCATCTCTATACAAGCCTAGACATCATAAATAAGGACCCATCAAAAATTTGACATCAAGAGCGATTCTTTCACTAAATCAAATTAATTAATGTAGCAAAATAAAAATAGTAGAACTAAGTAAGATAGGGAGGATAAATTTATGCAGCAGTAGTACATAATATTCAGGATGTCATAATTAATTTTTTCAGAGAATAATTGCAAACAGTTCTTTGTTTGCTTGGCCGTCACTGTTTCATAGACATGTAATCAATGTTAGCACATAAAAAGGTCAGCAACTTGCAAAGGAATCATTGTCACAGACAAGATAATTACTCTCCATGTCTAAAGATAATTTTAACTGCAACATCAGGCATTATTACATAAACATCACCAGCATTTCAGTCCGATGAAGTTGAATACTATGTAATTAACTCCTGTAAAATTGGTTTTAAGAGGCCATCAAACCCACTAATCATCCTTTCCAATGCATTTTCATTTACGATCACAATAATGGAGACATTTTTTCACCATATATGACTAACTGTGCGTATACAAGATGTTGCAAGCAGACTAGTGCAAAGAATGTATTCACAAAAAAACAAATAAATTAAAGATAATACTTACATCAACTGCGCTTGCATATGAAATATCAGCATATGCATAAAAAGATACAGAGCTCAACCATATGTTAATCTGTACAAAAAAAAAATCAATATTTAGAAAAAAAAAAGAATGTTAAAAATATAAGCTTACAGAGAGATAATTACAAATCATTTCAATCTACAAATAGCAACATAATGGCGTAGATACTTGCAAAATGAGTGTGCTACTTATAGGCTTATAGCAACATAACAGCGAAGATACTTGCAAATGCTCGTCTACAAAAAGATGAGCTTAATAAGAGAACCGAATCTAAACATTTCAATCTACAAATAGCAACATAACAGCCAAACTTAACAAAATGTTCATGCTACTTATTTTTTACAGGCGCAATTCAGAGAATAGACGCTAATACAGAGAAAACTGGAATACTACTAAAAAGAGAAAGTATAGCTCTACAATTCCGTTGCTTTTTAGGTACCCTTTTTGATCAGATTGGCTTCGTCATGTTATGAGTATATTCATCCAATAATATAATCCTAATTTTATCTCAAAATTTGTTGACATATCTTTTGCATACTAAAACTAAGGATCCAGATAATAGACTATTACATGTTAGTGATGATGAAACTGCAGCTCCACTTTTCAACAATAATATTACAATATTTCTTGTAGCTACTCTCTTCTCCATCTATATCATGGGAAATCAACTCCGATTTATCCATTGCATTATATATAAAATCCATTGGAGGCTTTTCTCAGGATCTACCATCATCGTCAAAACCTGAACTAGTGACCGAGTTGTTGTAATAACATAAAGCACACTCTATTAGGATCTGTCATTAAAAATGATCTTCTTAACTTCTTTCCCATCAGATTTTCTTAACCAAGTCAAATTAAATGTAATGTTGAAGTGAATATAGCCTCCAATAGCTGCCTAGCCTCTAATATGTTTTGCAAAGTCAAATAAACTGTGGTAAATCTTATTATTATAGATATCAATATTTCTTTTCAAACTTTTCATAAGTGTCAATTTAATTGTAATCACATATGAATTTGCTTATCTTTTATACTTAGTACATTCTTATGCTATGGCAGTGTAATATCCGCTGCAACAGTATTTTGACTGATTGAATTGAATCTAGTAAGCTTCGATGTTTGAGATTCTGCATTTTTTTGTGTATGTCAGTGAATGTCTCTAAATGCTTATGCGTGCATTTTTCTATTTTAAATCATGTCCTTAGAGTTCTGTGTGTGAAAAATCTACATGCGTGAATCTTTTCCTTAAGAGCACTACGGCATTGTGTAGGGGAGTGTTAGGATGCTTAGCTCTCTATATTTTCTATTTTGAAAAAAGAAAAAAATTTCGGGGAGCACTGCGACGCCGCAACACCGTGCTCTTTGTATTTCATAATTTTTAAGAAAATGCTGCGATGCTATGAAATAAATTTTTATATAAATATTTGGCAGTAAAATAAAAAAAGTATAATCCATTTCTTCCCTAAACCTAACCGACTAGAGAGAGAGAGGAGAATTATAATGAAAGAAAGATCGATTCAAACAACTTCAAACCATTTTGATATATCAGACCAGTATAAAATTGTTTGGATTGAGCTATGTTATATTTTTCCTGTCTTGCTTTTTAATAATTCAAAGTCTTTGCAATTTTTTAATTTAAATTCTGAAATTTCAACGCAAAAGTGGGTGCATTCTGATATCTGATAAATATTCACCACGCAACTTTTGATATGTTATAGACAAGAAAATTCTGCACATTTTGATATATTATTTGTGAATTTTCACCAAGCAGTTTTGCCTTTTTGTAAAATTAAGCATTCCAAAAAAATATTGTAAGACTAACAAATCATGCTTTAGTATAATAAAAAATTTGGAACATAACTGTGAATAATGTGTAATAATTTGGTTGTAATTTAAAAATATGAAAATTTGTGTGCGGGTTTACACCAAAATTCTATCAGCTTTGCTGCTAGTAGAGCTCTATAAAATTTTGTAATAGGTCTGATATTATTTTTTATATCTAAAAATATAATTATTTTTGTATTTATATATCAGTCTGAATTGAAAAAATTTTAATGATTGACAGAAAATTTTGATGCACTGTGTGCTAGGAGCTATAAGTGCATGAAATTTTGAATCTGTTTTTTTTTTAAATGCCTAATTCTAAATATCTATGATACTAAGCACTGACAGTTAGAAAAGCTTGTTATCTAATATGTTTGCATAAAGAGTCATAAATGATCAAATTCTAAAGTTTGTATTTGTTGGGAGATATAAGGATCTGAGGGGAATAAAAGTGATTTGTTCTGAGCAATTAATGTGGTGCATCTAAATTTCTATTATTTATGATCTGGTGGTTCATATTTATAATTTTTATTTCTATTATATGTGAAATATGTGCATTTCAATTATTTTGAGCTAACACTGAATCTGAAATTATATACCAATATGCACTGAGACATCGTAGATAAGGGTAATGTTCTGAATAATCAGTTTAAAATTCTATAAGGATAGTATGCTTAAATGTTTATGTTCATCTACTATTCTTTATGTATTATTAAGAATTTAGATAAGTTTAGTGTAGCCAACTGAGTCATGATTTTGATAGGAAACTCTTGTAGATTTCAAGTAAATCCTATCAAATTCAGAAAATCATCGAGAAAACTTCCACACTCCAAAAGAAAATCAGAAAAATAGTAATTTTATTGCAATAATCAAATAGAATGGAATAAACCACAAGATACAAGTGATCTTCTATTCGAGAGGAGGATCGATCTCTCCCAATCTCCAGACGAATCTAGAGCCCAAAACCTAAACCTAAGAGATCCCAAATTCAGTCAAATTCAAGATGCCCTAACCCCTGGAAAACAAACTATTTAATACATACAATTCAAAAGGAAATCTCTAAACAGTCCCAACATTCAATTTCCCTCCTAAACTTTTTCAAAAATCCTTTCTAAAAGGTTCTGTGGAGCTTTGCGGTCCGCTCGGCCTCCGCAGGAGAGGCGGAACTTCCGCCTCTATTCGCCTGGGCAGGTCCTGTGTGGACCGGCTGGACCGGTCTAACATATTTGTCATACTTGCTATTTCTGCATCTGTTTCAAGTTAAGGTAAATGAAAGGGGGGGAGGTTAAGTAGAGAGAGGTTGTAAGATCTAATTTTTGAGTCTGTATAGGTATGTTCTATTTAGATTTTTGGCAATCATGACTTTCTATTTTTGTGTAGCAATTCTATATTATACAATGTTTGTAAATGATTATTTTGATTGTTTAATTTTTTAAGATGAATGAATGAAAATGAAATTTTGAAGATGAGTATTTATGTATTTATTTGATGTTATTTAGTAGCTTGTAGTATGTTATTATTATAAGATTAAAAAAAAAACTCCTTCCAAATAGATCTTGAGAGTCTATCCTAATGTAATCTAACACAATATGACATGTTCAATATATAGGTTATATCAAGTTAGATAATGACAATTTTTTGTATCAGAGTCATGATTTGAAGGAATTGATTGTAACATAATTATAAGATTGATCTGTGGATGAGTGAGAAGGGTATGAGTAATATTAGGAATTCATTTCATCTTCTATTTTTTATGTGCATGTATCATTCATCAGTGTTAATTATGTAATTGTATCTACTTGATCTGTAAGAACCAAAGATGACTGAAGGGAAAAATTATAATCAAGCTTTGTCGGTTCATAATATAGCAGGAGTTGTCAGTTATGATTCTATTTCTAAGTTAATAATGTTAGTAGTACAATTGATGGGCGAGGCTAATAAGTCTTTTATGAGATCTGATGACATAAACAAACATATGTAAATATTTCTAGGGGTGTCAATTTCGGGTCACGGGTCGAGTTCGGGTCGATCCCGGAACTGACTCAGCACTATTCAGATCAACCCGAACCCGACCCGTTATTGCAAACAAATTGATTTTTCGAACCCGAACCCCGCTTCAGGTCTGGGTCAACTCGACACAACCCGAATGACCCGGGACCAATCAAAATTGCTAGTTTTCGGGTAAAAAATTGATCAATCTCCAATTTTAGGGTAAAAAATGAGCCAATCTCGGATTTTCGAGTCAAAAATGGGTTTTCGGGTCAAAAAAAGTTTACTGGGTCAAACCGAAACCGACCCGATTTTTCAAACGGGTTGATTTGTTGAACTTGAACCCAACCTGTTTTGGGTCCGGGTTAACCCAAAATTTTGGGGTCGGATTAAAGTCTAGTTTTCAGGTCATGCCAAATATTGACACCCCTAAATATTTATAAGATTGAAACTTAAAAGGTTTTTTGTGGAACCCCGTGCAATAAAGGACTGACTTATGAGACTGGAATAAACTTGTGATAGTATGTAGTGCCCATTTGAAAGAAAAGTGCCTATGGCTACCTTTCTGTTAGATGGAGAGGGTAAACGTTGGTTGTTGGGCCAGCAAAAGAAAAAAATTTATGGAAAGTTGAATGCTCTGATCTCCTGAGAGGAGTTTACTAATACATTCAAATAGTGGTTCGTGTCTCCTGCACTACAGCAAATGCAAGAGTCATTTCTGAGATTGATTCAAGGGAGCAAGATGGTGCAATAAATTAATGAATTTCCTGTATTAGTCAGGTATGCTCCACAACTTGTTTGTACATCTGAGGTGTTGTAGATTTCTGAAAGGGCTCCAAGACGGTCTGAGGCATCCTTTGGTGTTATTTCATATCTTTGATTTCTCTAAACTAGTGGAGAGAGCCCATTTGTTAGAGAATGATCTACCAGCTACTCAATGACGATGAACTGCTAGCAAAAGAGATCTGGAGGAGACTTTTAAGAGAATTTAGTGAGAAGAATAGTAGGTTTAGGCATGAAAATGCTAGAAAAAGCTTATTCAGATCTACATTTATCAGCGATAATGTAGTAGCATCCGTTCGTTCTGTCAATTGAGTGTCTGTTTGTCAAAAGCTATGGAAGGAGACATTTGGTTCAATGTTATAAAGTGTCTGGGCAAAGCTTTCAACATGACCATATTGGCCATACGGTGGCTGATATCCATAGTTTGGATCAGATAAACGTTCTGATGTGAGAGTGGC